GGCTCCGCCCTGCACGGCGACCCGCCAGGGACGTGGAGGCCGGACGGCGCCCAGGTGGAAGTCCTTTCTGGCGCACTTGGGGGCGGGGAGTTCGAGACAACGGTTAGGGGCTCGCTCGGGTTTCTTAGCAGCCTGTGGCTACGGGAAGGGGACGGGGCCCGCTCCTTCAGGCGATCCGAGATTACTTGGGCCAAAGGCGGTCGCTAGACTTCAGGAGGTACAGCAGGTACCGTGGGATCGTGCCGTGGCCGCCTCGTCCTCCCAAAGTCTCACGGCCAGCCCGGCCCTCGCCCGAGGTGGGACGCAGGCGCCCGCGCGTGCAGTCCCAAGACGACGCTCCAAATGGGGAAGGGAGGGCACGTGGGGTGTCACGGCCCACTTTTCACTTACTAACGTTTTGTCCCTTTCGAGGATTCGAGGCTGGCCATTATGCCGCTGTTCTTCGTTCTCCTTACCTTGAGACACTGGCGGTTTCGTTGACCAAACTGATCAATTCAAAAGCAGATGCTCAGGCGTTCACTTTACACGTAACGTCTGAGCTGGATCTGAAATTGCCAATAAGGGGGTGGGGGTGGGGGGAACTTCCTCAGACAGCTCGTGCTGAGGACCCCGTGGGCTGGGCTTGGCTTGGCCATGACGAATAGGTTGAGACTGGAATGGTTTATAGGCAAGAGAAGGAAGTAATGTAGAATGAAGTAATAGGATATCTAACAGGTACAGAGGGCACCCTGCTAGCCAGGTACTGTTCTAAATGCTTTACCCATATTAACTCATTTAATCCTCCCGACAACCCTACTGTTATCCAGATGAGGAAACTGAGGTGCAGAGGGGTTAACTCGCTGGAGGAAGTGACAGCTGGGGTGCCCTGTCCAAAAGTTCAGAATGGCTTGACTAAAACCAGCAGCAGTAAGGAGTAAAGAGCAGAGTGGCCTCACCTTTACAAGTCAGGAACCAACGGGAAGGATGGCTCAGAGGGCCAGATGGGGACCATCCTAACTGCCCAGCTTAAGGAACTTGGATCTTAACCTTTAGTTCTGCCCTCCCCACCTTCCAAACTCTACCAATTCCCAAGGAAGTAAACTTATTACTGTAGGATAGTGTGCCTGGGGGCAAAGATAAAGCCGTCTATAGCAAGCTCCAAATGTCACTGAAGGCCAGCATTTCACCCTGAAACTGCATGCAAACATCACTGTATTCTGTAATATCCTTAGGTTTGGTCTGATATAAAAGTCATGCTTACCCCCAAATATTTTCCAGTAAAATTGGTGTTGCAGAAGCTGCCCCAGGTTTATCTTAGGACTGCCTGCCTCTCAGGGCAGTGGCATTGGAGCTACCCTTATCCCAGCTTGAGAGGTAGTAATTATAAATAATGAATGGGAAGCGAGTGAAGAAGTTTGAACTGGGAGATGTCATGTGCAAAGTGGAGATTTAAAAAGATTCGTCTGGCATGGATGTGTAGGGTGGATTAAATGGACAGAGAGCTGAGTACCGGAAACTGGGTAAATATTGCCATAATAAGTACAATAATAACTTGCATTTATCAAGCATTCTCTAAGTTTAAGCCCTGTGATGTCGGGTCTCCTGTGGATCACCTTCCTTGTCCCGATTCAGGTGCTTCACTAACTGTTGAAATATTCCACTTGTCTCAAACCCAGCAGACCACCATTTACCTGGACCACACCTAGCAAGTGCTGCAATCAAACCCGCCCCTGTTCCCATTCTCCTCCTCCCCCTCCTGTCCCACCTGGTGGTTCCCTGAGTTCTCAACCTGTCCAGACCTGCCATAAGCCACTGAATCCTGAGTGATCCATGCTCCATTATTTTAAAACTGGTTTGGAGACGTCTCTTCTAATTCCTCCGAGCTTTTGCTTTCTGGCTTGTGCCTTTCTTCCAAAAAGCCCTTCATTCTTTTTATTAAACTAGGGAACAAAGGTGCCCTTCAAACACTTTGACTTCCTCCTACTCAGTAAATTCACCATGCACAGATGGCTCCCCTCAGGCAGGGGGACAAGGCCATACTTGCCCACAGCCACTGAAATAGTTTCCTTTGTGGCTACCTCAGGAACATCCCATGTCTTATCACTGCTGAGCTTCTGGATCCGAAGGAGGCTGCTGGGTGGATTGGTTTTACTTTGGGGGTTTAAGAGTAGATAAACCCAGAAAAATTTTATGTTTCTCATTGTTAGTTTTAAAATATGGTTAGTTCCTTAAGAATTAAATCTAGAATTACCATACAATCAAAAAGCTCCAGTTCTGTGTATATACCAAAAACAATTGAAAGCAGGGACTCAAACAGATACTTGTACATCTATGTTCATAGTAGCGTTACTCACAATAGCCGAAAGATGGAAACAACCCTAGTGTTCATCAACAGATGAATGGAAAACAAATGTGGTATATACATACAAGGGGTTGTTATTCAGCCTTAAAAAGGAATAAAATTCAGGCACATGCTACTACTGCCTGGATGAACCTTAAAAACATCATGCTACATGAAATAGACCAGACACAAAAGAACAAATACTGTATGA